CTTGAGCGTCAGGCTTGACGATTGCTGGGAGTCCGAGTGAGACGGAGCGATGGCCATGTACGAAAGTCAAAGAGAGACACGCGGATGAGATAGAGGAGAGAGTGATATCCCACTGATGCTTCCCATTGTGGGGTATTATCTGAATTGCAGGCCTCGCCGTAAAACAGCCTCTGCTCACGGGCTGACCGGCTGGTTATTGTTGTTATTTCAATTAATGTACATTCCCATCCTGCATGAGCCAAACGTATGGTGCTTGGCTTCGTGTGCGACTCGCGATTGATAAAATGATAGCGTCCTCTATAGGTTGCGATAGAAGAGTGAACAGGTGATATATATATATTTCTTTTTCTTAGCAACCTACACAAACGGTACACAGTTGATACGGAGCTGTAACGTAACTAGGATATATTGCTATAAAAATTCCCTAGGACATTCACTAGCCTGTAACGAAGATCTCCTGTTACTCCGCAGTGACTGTCCTTAATGACGTAAAGGACGATTACGACCTGTCGTGCGTCAGTGTGAGTAAACAAATTTTTTGTATAACCTCCAAAAGCCATACGCTGCCCGGTCCAGGGGGATTCTGTAATTTTTGTGTACCTGTTGGCGATACCCGTGGACGGGGGTTTCATCAGGGTCCGAAAACCACCCCCGTTCGTCAAACAGGAGTAACAAGTGTACCAGGCACGTTACCATAGGCGGGAATAAAATTCCTCAAGGCAAAAACGGCAACCGGGGACCAATTTTTCATTCGTCCTCTCGTTCTATTTGGCCCGGTTGTCCCGCCTCGCTACCAACATTTCTGTTTCAGCCATGGCAAAGCATCCATCATGCGTGCGCGGGGTGGTTGCAGGGTTCCTTCGGCTCTATAAAAACTTAATTACCTTCATTAACCGAGAGAGCTCCCGAGCTGATCCTGCCGCTCGATCGCTACCGAAACGCCGTGTGTTGTGTTCATTAAGGGTTTACCTTGAGCTTGCGCACATGGGTCCAAGTGACTGGACAGACGATATTACGTTTGACTTCAAGTATGATTTTTTTTAAGATAAAAAATATCCCTGATCCCATTGACAAATTTTGAAAATTCTCACGTGGCACGTAATTCCCATAGAGATCCTATGGATATCAATGCAGCCAATCAACGACAATTATATAATTTCCCTTGACGCACGTTGGCGCGACCATCGCTATTATTTGCTTCTTATTTCCTTTTTCTACTTATGACCGACTCGCGTACTTTATTGTGCACGTATGTTCGTATGGATCTCCGTGTGGATGCTGGCGGATACGCATGCAACCACGGTAAATCGACGATATTCCACAATGCTCCTTAATGACTCGATCGTGCCGCCAAAGCCTCTTTGTGCCTGTCGACATTTTATTTTTATACTTTACCGCACGGGGCACCCTATAGCTCGCTATTAATTGCCACGGTACTGCGCCAACTTTGCCGCGAGTCCATCTTGCCGTTGATATACGGGATGGAGGCGAAGGGGATGAGAATTGTTTTTCAAAGGGCGAAGAAAACGGGAACGTGAATTGTTCTGTGCTGCGGGTACTTTGGGTAAGTTTATTTTTTCAGGCTCTACCAACATGGGATTTCGTAATATCGGAGACTCTGTGCAAACACGGGTCAAAGAATGTGGATGGAAATCATAAAAGAAATGGTAGGATCAAAGATAACCTACTGTTGGTAAGTTCAGTGGTAACAGAAGCGAATATCTAACATAACCTCTTTTGTCGGCTTCCTGGGTATACGGCATGGATATTTCAGTAGCAATCATATTGGTAATTTCCTAGCTTGATTGTCCCTGACCGCAGTCCTGGGGTTACTTATTTTACATTCCACCCTTATTCGGCCGATGATAAATTCTAACGGACGTATCGCGGTAACGGCCGGCGCCATTGGAGCTTCGGGTACGCCGTGGCCAGGAGTGCGAGATCAAAGGATCACCATAAACGATCCAATCAGTCGAGTAATTCGCGAAGATTGCGTGGAATCTGAGGATTCGTGGTGGGCGAAAGTGCTACCGTGCGAGATCGGGATTGGTGTCCTTGAAAAGTGGTATGTTACTTCGGAGAAAAGATTTATACGTGGATTTCTGTGGGATGGAAAAAAAAAAAATTTTCTCTTAATTCTACTTTTTATGCTCTTACGAAACATTAAGCTTGCCTGCGTGATTTTAATGTTATCTGTTGTATCGTATGGGGATATGGTTATTGAATTAGGATGATACAGTGTCTTATGTCCTCGACGATTATCGGTCAAGAGTGTTTTAAGATCATCGCCAGTACGCACACGGTCAATTAAAGATCGGGATCGTCACCTGGGACTTGCGTATCGGGTTTCCGACGTGGGAGGTCTACGGGATCTCTTCCAAGACGATGAGCCCGTGGAACTCTCTAAGAGGCTTCCATTCCATTCTCGATACGAACCGCGGGAATTTCGAAGCTTAAATCGCTTGAAAATTCCCGCCACGTTGTCCTATTGGAGTGCCATCCGTGTACGGTATAAATAATTGTATGTACGGTATGAAAAAATTTAAAAAAATTATACGTATTTATCGTATAAAAATATTTTGTATTTTCATAACATGTATTTTTTTTTCAAATTTTGCGTGATAGTTTTTTTTATATTTTTTCCCCCTCTGCAATTGGTCTGATCTCTCATCTGAAACGTACTGTCATACGTCTAACATAACCTAACCTTAGTTAACTCCAGGACGATGTCCAGAAGAAGCAAGAGACGAATTTGGGTGCGACGAGGCGAGAAAGTCCCTCGTACAAACTGGAAAGGACAACCCTGGGGCGTAACACGAGCCGACGATCATCTCGTGATCCTGACACGAGGACGAAATCGAGATTGAAGATCGTCACGAACACCTCCGACGACGGCACACTCGTTTATTAAGGGAGACCGCTCCTTTCAAAAGGACCAATGATCGAGAAGCGTCGGGTTGTCACAAACGATTAAAATATTAGAGGTCCCAGTCTGGAGGAAGGGTAAGGCCCACGGGAATAGTCAGTAGCTGTCATTGAGTTTGGTAGAAAAAAAAAAGAAAATTTAAACTACGGAAACTCAAAATAAAGTCTAGATGACACAAAGTAGATACCATATAGTGTAATCGGTACTTGTGTACTTGACTTAAAAGGTTTGGATATCGCAGTCGACGATAATGCTGGGTACACACTGTATATTTTTACAAACTCAAGTCCTTGAAAAAAAAATATATATATATACTGAATTACTCGAACGCGTAATGATTCATCATATAGTTTGGTTTCGCGCTAATGCGAATTTTCTTGGAGAAACACGCAGGACGAAACCGTGAAAAATCGTTGAAGGATCGTAACTCGACCGGAAAAGTCTCCGGAGCCTTGTAAACTCGGCTTTATGAAGGATGCGGCTTAATGGACCTAGAAATTGTCCCCATGGGAGTGGCGGGATGGGACAAAAGATCGGCCAACGAAACGACCGGTCCTCCTCCACCTTGTTGACTAAATAAAGGATTGCAAATTTTGAATTCTAATGGTTTCCAATGCACAGAGTCACTTTTCGAGACTATAGAAAAATTCTCTGGCTAACGGTTTTGCAATTTGTCACACGAAATTATTCAGAGACTCCATCGGTAATATTACTACACAGCACCACAGATAAGTATACCCAAGAACGTATTCGAGTATTTACCTAAAATTTGAAAATTTTACGTTTAAATTAATTTTCTGTATTTTATTCTTTTTTTCGAAATATTCTTTTTTTCATTTGTTAATCGCTATTTATTTTTTATTTCAATTTTATCTTGGCAGGGTACTGTATCTAGGTATGTACCTATCTATGTACTTGCATGATACGGTCTGGTATGTTGACTGCATACTGGATGGATAGACAACATACGGCCGTCTTGCTTTAATAGATAGAAAGATTATGTTGCAATTGGCAAAGGGATAATATTTTCTTCTCTCGGCGAAGGAGATTAGTATAAAATTACAGAGACTCGAGGTATACGTGCCTCCGCTACGTATCGCTTGGTTTCGTTGGGTTCTCAAGCGCTGCCAACTGCAGGGCAGACGAAGGACTGAGATAGTTGACAGTCATTTGTCAGATTAACGGAGAACCACTGCTCACAGATGTCTCCGCCTAATTAGGCGGACTGAGAGGTAAAATTACACGTTTCGGAGCATCTCAAATGAAACACAATTCATTACCGTGGCTCCCTTTAAAGCTCGATGCGCGCGCACATACCTCATTCTACTGTCTGACCAACCACTTTTCAGAAGGATAATTGGGGTTTCATTTGCAGCTGCGAGATTGGAGTGGATCGAAAAATTCGAAGTGATTGTGAATATTTTGTAAGGAAAAAGAAAAAAGTGAGAATGAAAAAGTCAAAATAGAGGGTAAAGACGAAAAGAGGGTTCCTGGTGGTCAATCACCTGCTTCTTTATGGGCGACAATGCAGTGATCTGTCGAAACAATCGAAATGAAAAATCCATAATGTCCGATCCGAAGAAAATCGTCAGATACCAGCGGGTAGGATAATAGAGAGGATTTAAATGGGAGACCCGACCAGAGAGCACAAAATCACCAAGAGGTGGTTTCCTTCGAGACCGTTGTTTACGCGGCGGAAACGGGCTATAATCAGTGTTGGCTGCGCAAAACCGCAAGCCTACAATATTACTGTCATTTTCACTGGGAATGAGCAAGTCCGCCCTCGCAAAGGGAAAGGACGATCAGACCGAAATTAAATGAGGTAGATCATCGCCTCGTCACTCCCGTAGCAGTCAATTTCATAAAAGCTTCTCCAAGAACCAGCCAATCGAGTAGATTCCAGACGCGCGATTGAACCGACCCTAAAAATCTAGTAGTTTTTACGCGAGCTCCGATGTAGTTTGACGACAAGCTTCATAAAAGTGTCGCCAGTGGCGCTGGTGTCTCTACAAGCAACCCGCGGCAGTTCCGGTAATAATGTGCGGTGCGTCGAGAATGATGCCTTTACTCTCGTCACTCTTTGGTTTAATTTATCGTTTTATGGTCCTTTCGAAGCCCAGCTCAGTCCACTATACACAGTGTAGCAACAGTAGTAGTCGTCGGTGGCACCGTAGCGAGCCGAGGGGCCGGAGAAGAGGAAAGGCCGAAGTGGGCCGAGCGAAGAGACAAATGAACCGCGAAACAAAGGACTGGCGTGGGGCGCAGGGCGTGGCGCTCGGCGTATTAAGCCCGCAACGCGGCATTGTCGGGCTCGTGTTATTGTTGTAACCACCGGGGTTAACTTAATTGGATTTAAGTCGAATTGTTTGCGCACCACACCGCACGTTGGACAGACGTAGGATCTTCTTCGAGTTGGAAAAATCAGTGTCTATGCTTCTGGCCTCAGGATTTCGCCAAGAATCCAGTATGCTGAACTGCCGTATATGATCCTCACAATTCTAGCCACTAGATTTTCATCCTATTAGCTTCAAAGTGCTGCGTATGCACTTTTACATGGATAAGTGTTTTCTTGTATGCGTATACGGATCTCACGAAGATCATTGGATGCCACGGAATAACCACTGCTGTTCTTTTCACTAGCTACAGGGAGCTTCCCCGTGAATGTAAAAGGTGAGAAGGTGTATTCGAACAGTGTGTAATTAGAGTTATTACTTTAACAAGCCGGTTACCGGTAGAGGCAGAGCCATCGGGGAATCATTGTTAGCTGCTAATGCAAGTCTTCTTTGCGTGATAAAGGCACAGCCCAGTGCTCGCATTTTATTTCGTCCCTGCTTACTGCAGCCAAGGTAACCGTAGATGCAATGATAAAAATTATCGCAATGAAGAAAATTAATTTAGCATTTTCTTTCACCATTCATATTTATGATCTCTACAAGATCACGAGTAGAGTCTCTTCGTACAAGGGGCTCGTAGGAATTGCCTGGCAATGTGTCAACTAAAGTCCCGTCCGCATGAACGCTAGACGAGCGCAATGGGCCGGATAAATCCTGGACGTGTTTCGCAAAGGAATTTTCGACGCTTCATTAAGTCAGGCTTCTCGCGCTGCGACGCTGTCTCCGAACTTGAGTTTGACAAATTATTTCTTGCGGTTTTACACCCTGGGCCTCAAGCTGTCTTGGAAAAGTCTCGGGAAAATATCGTAAACCCTGCTGCAACGTACTTTGCTGTGTTTACGGGTGATGGCAGCACGGTCGGACGAGCTAGGTAGACACGTTGCGTTTGCCAGAATGTAATATTACACGACTGTACCGGTAGAAGCGGCGCGTCGTTCGCGTCCACACTGTACATGCTATATCTACGGTATAATATGAAACTTTTATCGGATTATTTTTGTAATTAAAATTAACAACCGGCACGCTGCCAAATTAGCCTTCTAATACCCCGGAGGGATGACAAGGTGGGGGATGAGATAGGTAGAGATAGGGCCCACTGTAAGAAAAGGGATAAGACCCCCTTTTCCCTTCATCGCTGTGGTAGTTAAAAGATGGCAGTGCTACCATCATCAATACGTGTCACGGACTTATGTATTCACTTTATACACAAGACCATTTACTACATAGCGCCTTAATTATCCCAGCCATTCTTTTAGCGTGCCACTGACGAGCACGTAACCATCACCGATATCTCGCGATTTCTTTTTTTCACCCCATTAAACCCCCCCCCCCTTGTAAGATAATATGAAAAAAAAAAATTAAAAATTAAAAATATTTCTAAAAATCCGTGAAAATTGAACTTTTTTCTTTTTCTTCTCTTTCGCTCTAGCTTCACTCCCGTTTCCTTTTCTACACCCTCCAGATGGATCCTCGTATACAAGAAGCGGTCGGATTAGCGGTGGAGTTCGGTAGCCGAGACAGCGGCTAGCAATCCCTAGCTCGTTGAAATGATTCCACTTATCCGCGGCGGGGAGTCCCCAAAGAATCCGCGTCGGACAAAGCGGGGAATCGAAGGCAGCCGCCACGGGACGTCCGGCTACCGAAGATATTTCATTTACCAGGACAAAAAGTTCCGTTCCTCTCGAAGACGGTCCCCTGCGCCTCCGTGCCGGGGCAGCCCCAATTCCACGTGAGTATACGCCGTCTTGAACCGAGCGAGGAATTCGAATTAATATTCGGCGCTGACATACGAAATTACAGGCAGAGGCCCCGGTTGCCGCCCGCCAAGAAACAAATGAGCACCGATCATCTTGTCCGGAGCGACAATGGCCATAGGAACCGGGCCCGAACTCACGGGGCTTCATTGTCGTTATCCCGTTTGAGAGCTTTCTCGCTTCGTTTTCACTCGGTAATCCTCGGCTCGACCAATTTGGCTACCGATTTTTATACTAATTGCATATCGCTACGTTCCTACTCGGAATTGAACTGCTTAAACCGATATTGAGGTGCGCGACTCTTATTATTATACATCCTTTTTTACAGCTGACCATCTCGGCCCGCTTTCGTAATACGACTTACCGGTTTTGGTTAGGTACCAGTTTCGGTGTCCTTTGAGGATACATCAAAGATCACTCGGATCTACGATTGATCATAAACGATCCAACGTCATGCGGATAATTACCCTGGTACATTTACAAGGTCAGTCGAAATCGTCTTTGCCAGTTTAATTTGACGTCTGTCACGTGGTCCATTTGTTTCAGCATCACTGCGATGATATTCAAGAGATAAGGGACAAGAAGATTTTACGGGTCTCGTCGTCGTATCAACGTCGAAGTCACGGAGGTAGCCGGTATTCAGGAATTTTCGAGGATTCGTATACCAGCTGCGAGTGCGAGAGAGACAGACTTATGGGTATACAAGCGTAAATTACAGGTACTTTGTCAAATTGGCCCTATTATGACATCAGTTTTGAGTGTTTCTAATTTGAGTATAATTTGAAATATCGAAGTACTTTACTACCCAGATAAAGAAGTCATTCCCAGGGCAGACAGAGTCACCAAGTCGAAATGCTAAAAAGTTGACGAGCCAGAGAAGGAAGGAAAGAAAATAAAAATAAAGAAAAGTCAAACTCCAATGATCCCACGACCGAGAACGGAAACTCTTCTCACCTGTTTAAAGCGTCGGCCATTGTCCGCGAGATAATTTGGTTAAAGTAACTAATTGTTCGCCCTTTTCAACTCGCCGCTTATGATGCCAGGAGCGGTCCCTTTGTCGTAATTAATAGTCCTGCTCACAGGACCTTACTTCTGCCTAAATGATTTCCCATCCATCTTCCAGCTCGAGACTCCCGAGCGACGTGCTGCTCTACGCTTTTCCACGAAAACACGAGAAAGAAAACAAGCCGGCAGCGAGTGCGAGAGAGACGGCGACGGCCGTTGGCCAACGGGAGTAAGAGAGAGAGAAGATCGGATCCAGTCAACGAAATAGACCACGTCAACAGAAAACGATCCCATCATGTAAAGCGTTGTCGATGTAACGATCAAAAACTCGAGGTTGAACGTCGGCCATTTTAACGTCCCGGACTGTCTAGCCTCACGGCGTACAAACATCGGGCACGGAACCAACAAGCCGTATGAGTAAAAGGTGTCAGAGGTTGGCCGCGTCTGGTTCCACGGCTGTTGGCAAGTTAGTTAGTGGAATATGGTCTCCGATTAGGCTCTCCAATTGCCACATCCGCAGGAAGGACGTGCAGGTAACAATTTCAAGTTCTCAGTGGTTCTCATGGCGTTCGGTGCGCATGCGCACAAAGTCGACGGCCATGATGGCAAATAATTTCGTTGAAAGACAAACGTCGATATATATATATATATATATGTAACGGCGAATAGCAAGTGGTCCCAAAATTGACGGGGCATTATACCTTGGCTATAGTCCATTTGAAAATGACTTTCGGATACGGAAGAGCGATAAGGCCCCGTTTCTATGGACAGACAATACGGGTTTTACAGGCTATAATTGTCTGGGCCATATGCCTCTCTCGTGTTTCTATGCTTCGGACAACGTGTGCTCGACGAAACGTTTCCATGCTGAATGTACGTAAGGGAGATGTAGAAAGAAAGAAAAGAGATGAAAAATATATTACTACAGACAGTTTGAGCTCTTGATGTACAGATAGCGAGGAGATAACATACTAAGCAGTTCCCATTTACCTCCGACGTTCTCACCCGTTTATGCTTCGCGTTCTAATTATAATATTTAAATTTTGCCGCCATGTGCGACCCAACTACCCTTAAGCGCGGTATAAGCCTATGTGCTGTACAGTCCTGTATGAGAGTGACAAGAAGAACCGTATACTAAATGCAGTAATTTTATGGGGTAAATTAGTAGAGAGAGAGAGAGAAACTGTTGGCAAAACATTCGTTGGGTATCGCGATGGCGATAATTCATTAGCTACTAGATAATAGATACGACTCGTTCCTGGCTAGTTTTCATAGTAAAACTTTGATGCGCTATCGCGACAAATTATCCGTTCGTGTTTATCTACCAGGTACTGGATGTTTAGCGTATAGATGTTTAATAATGTACTGTATACTCTCTAGAGCAGATTTGACTATAGTTTAATATGCGTGTTGACAGTAAGGCTTAGGCGCACTATATGTAAATTTTTTTTAATGAAAAAAATCGCTCCAGGCGACTGTCGCCTGATATGTAAGTCGGAAGTGCTTTCGTCATAATTATTTAGGGTGGCGATTAACGAGTGAAATACGTTGGTAATGTGATATTGAAATATCTGTTGATATATAAATATATATTGTAATGTATTTTTTTTAACTCGATACCGATGGCGAAAAATCCGAGAACTAATGTACGTTATCTTCGGCCGTCTATATTTCGTTGATGCATCCGCAAGCCAGGCGGGCGCTAGTCAGTTCTTTTTTTCACCGGGAACTGAAAAGCCGGTATGACCTGAGAGTTAGGGTGGAACCTATCGGATAATTTGCTGTACAGTCCTGTATGAGAGTGACAAGAAGAACCGTATACTAAATGCAGTAATTTTATGGGGTAAATTAGTAGAGAGAGAGAGAGAAACTGTTGGCAAAACATTCGTTGGGTATCGCGATGGCGATAATTCATTAGCTACTAGATAATAGATACGACTCGTTCCTGGCTAGTTTTCATAGTAAAACTTTGATGCGCTATCGCGACAAATTATCCGTTCGTGTTTATCTACCAGGTACTGGATGTTTAGCGTATAGATGTTTAATAATGTACTGTATACTCTCTAGAGCAGATTTGACTATAGTTTAATATGCGTGTTGACAGTAAGGCTTAGGCGCACTATATGTAAATTTTTTTTAATGAAAAAAATCGCTCCAGGCGACTGTCGCCTGATATGTAAGTCGGAAGTGCTTTCGTCATAATTATTTAGGGTGGCGATTAACGAGTGAAATACGTTGGTAATGTGATATTGAAATATCTGTTGATATATAAATATATATTGTAATGTATTTTTTTTAACTCGATACCGATGGCGAAAAATCCGAGAACTAATGTACGTTATCTTCGGCCGTCTATATTTCGTTGATGCATCCGCAAGCCAGGCGGGCGCTAGTCAGTTCTTTTTTTCACCGGGAACTGAAAAGCCGGTATGACCTGAGAGTTAGGGTGGAACCTATCGGATAATTCGATAACTTAACGGATCCTGTAGATTTTTGGGGACGCGTAAAATCGAGAAACGCAACTGGATGCACGAACGGGAGCGCAGGATACGGAAATGCGCAGCCACTCAGGCCGTATAAAATCGAAATCCCTCCACCAATTAATAAATCGGTAGCACTCACCGGAGCCGGTTCAGCTGATCCGTCAAGGCCGAGAACTGCATCCAGGAGACACTCGGGTGGGCACTGCACTATGGCACAACACTGCACTTCCGGAACGCTCACAGAAAATCCACAGAATTTCCTGGATATCGCGACAGCAACGCGAGAACCGCACAAACGAGAAGTTGCTATACCGTATCGAAACGCGGCTAGAAAAACTATAAACAGACAGCACGGGAGCGCGAGCCAGTTCGTGACACCTCGGTCGGTGCCCCGAGACAGACTGCTTTGACAAAATATCCAAATTCGACAACTAATAATTCTGATCATCCGATTGGTCGAGACCCTTATAGCCGATAACGCTTCCATCTCCCTCGATTCGTCCCTTTAAACCAAATCGAGAGCGTTCCTTAGCGAATCGGTACGTAACCCTCGGAGATCCTCCACGGCCGCTTCCCCAGGTCGTCGAGCGACAGTTGGGCCCCACATCCTTAACCCGGGCAGGAGGTTCCTCCACTGCCCTTAACCGTATCAAAACCTTATCTCCGCCAGCTCTACAGCCCTTTGCCCATCTCCAGCGAAACCACAACGAAATTTTCCGAGAGCATTGGCCTAACTGTACGAATCAACCCGAGAGCACAGCTTCTGAGCAGGGTGGCGACCGGAAGGGAACCAGAAATCGAGAACGTTATCTGTATCGGTGGCCGGAGTCGCCTTGTGACTGTGAATCGAAAAATCACGTGACAGTATATATTCAATATATTATACACAATATCTAGATGGAAAGCAGATACGATCCGTCATAGTTAAAGCGACCATCGACAAATCTCTATCAGGAAGCAATGACTGGGAACACTTGACGCTGGATAATGACGGTGTCATCGATAACGTCACCCCTCACGCATATCGACAGGTTCGTCACGCTTGTTTGACCTTCGATTATTTACATGAGAATTACGTCAATCCGAGCCTGAAATTCTGAAGAATCATCGATATCTAAACGGTGACGAAATAACAATCGATTATCTGTCGGTACGTATATTTTTTATGTATTTCAGGTAAAATCATTTTCCGACCGTTGCGTAATCAAAAATTAATCTGATTCGGTATGCAGTACTTTTTCTTTTTTTTATCGCTCATCAATTTTCATATTTAATCATTTCTCTTTTAAGTCAATGCTCGTGCTACCAAAGCTCGACATCGGTAGCCGCGCATAATGCGCGCTCACCGGCTCGACTCGGGCCGACATAAAACACTCACGCGAAAGCGAGTAACACGCGGGCAGTGCCGGAAGTGGGAGCAATTAACGATATAAGTGGTCCGCTGGTCTCCGCGGTAGATAAAAATCAGACTAACGTCGAGTCTAGCAGCTCTTTCTTGCCACCCGGTATATAGATCAGGCTTTGATAATGGCGCGAGAAGGCAGGTGCCTTTTGGACACATTATACGCTCTTATTCACCTTCCCTCGTACGTTTTGTTTTTTACCGCTGTTACTCCACTCAAGTCTTTTACCACCACCTCCTTTGCTTCTGACTGCTATTGCAAGGTATATATATATATATTTTTTCTTACTAGCCTTCAAGTCCTGCCAACTTGCCAGATAGACAATTCCCTACGTTCGACCATTACGAGTCAGTCCTACTTGCATATAAGTGTGTCTACTGGCTTTGATACCCGTCAGTTTTTTTTACCTCTATTTTCTTAATACAAATTTTTTATTTATTCTTCTTCATCAGATTTATGCATTTTTTTATTATACTGATTTTAAGTTTTTTTTTTTTTCTTTTTTTTGGAAATTAATTGGTACCTGCTGTCATACTGATAATGCTCAGGCAGCCATTGGGTAACAAGAACGGTAACGAATCGGATAACGGACAAGCGGATGGATGGGCAACAGGATGCGAGGGCAGTGTCCCTCTTACTTTTGTTCCTGCGATCCGCCGTTGGCTCTTTTGTTAACTGGTTTTCAGGATGCAGAAGCCAAGCAAAAGCTCAATTTGACCGCGGCTCAACCACATCCTCTGCTTATCGTCCACGTACAGTTTCGTCTGAGAAAAAACGTACGGGTTGTACATAGCCGTAACTTTATATATATTTTTAAATTCTAAAAAAATGTGCTGGAAAAAAAAATTTTTTCGAGTCTTACCATTCATCATGGACGATATTGACCTAGGTTAGGTTTTATCAACGATAATCAACGTTATCGTCTCGTCCTTTAAATTGGCATCGAAGCCAAAGCTTAAGAACTGTTTGTGCGCAGAGATAGTGATCCTGGGTTGGCTGCTTATGGCACGAAGTGTCTCGGTTGGCTGAGTTCAGCGTCGAAAATCGTTAGTGCTTCACCGCCCAACCGCTAATGGGGTCCAAATTAATTTCACGTAATTGGGGGAACATGGGAGAGTTCGAGTAGACGGATATTTGAGGTGGTGGGTGAGGGTTGTCGGAGGGTGTAGGCGAGGGTTGAACGAGCTACCCGTTTTACCCTAATAGGAATAAAATAACCCATACCGATCGTCATAATTGTGGTCCTGCCGGAAATAAGCAAATATGATTAAAGAGCCCCTTAGGTAATTTCTATATACCATTTTCACCACGGCGTTACGCTTCGTGTAACGATGACTTTAGACCGTACGTATTACGTTACAGTGTATTATATGATACGGAGGAGGTTATAATGACTGCTTGAAAAATTCGTTGACTCAAGTGCTAAAGCAGTCAACGTGGAACATTTTTCTTCCATCCGATCTTGCACAGTGGAATATTTATAATGGAACAGGGACAAGTGGCGATCGTTTAATAGACTCACGTGAACCGATGTAAATTTAGTATAATATATTTTCCATATAATAATTTTTGCTATACAGACATTATGTTACAAAGCATGGGTTTACCTATTTTCTCCATTTACTTGGGGCTAGAGTCGCGCGAGCGACATAACCCTCAATCGCATTCGATGCGTCGACACTTAGTTTTTTTTTGCTTTTTTTTTTCTTATCTCTCAACTCATTAGGATTCGCCTTTTCGTCTATCACCTTCACCATCTCGAACGTCATTTTTATTTTATTTATTAATTTTCCTCGTAGAACCTAGTTTTATACATTCATAATACTGGTATTTTATCGCGAGCACGTTTACATAGATTTATCCGATCGAGCAGCCATCTTCTTGAAGTTAGTCTGAACGGAACGGATTTTTGGGGATATTGACAAAATTTTTTTTTCACGAATAATTTTAGGTATGAAATATTTAATAAATTATTTATATATATATATATATGTAAGTTTTTGTCGCTCGATCAGGTAAATCCCAAAACACGCCGCTTCTACGTATACAGGATCTGAAAAATATTTCTCAATATTCTTCATTGGCTCGAAAACTTATGTCCTATCGAAAAGATTACGCCGACCCTCTCTCATCACATTAAACTTACGTATGTATATTTCCCAATTGGGCTTTCATCCTCGCGACATATTACCTATCTATGTACAACCGAAGAATATTGGGGCTGCGATGTGAACTGAACTTTATGTATTTACAGCGTCTTTAACGTCCATTAAATATATAATAGGGCATCGAGAGTTAGAATAGTTCATAGATCAAGCGAGTAGTCCCTCTACGCAATTTTGGAGGATTCTTAAGGCCCATTTTCATGAGAGTCAAGAGATCAGCGACAGATCTCATGATGGGACCCAATTGACAAGGTTCACTGGGCCCCCACCGCTTTGGGAATCCACTGTCACGTTTTAGATACACAGACACTCACGAAGTCCCTTCTCAAAGTAAGGGGGGTATTTCCATGCGCTGTCAAACACGGTAGTTATTTGAATAGGGGCCTTACGCGAAGGGCCTTAAACAGTTTTTACAAACTCGAAACGGACGCCATGGACGACTGTAATTTCGTGTCATTTCACTCCGTGATTTCTTCCCCGAGGCTCTGAGACACTAATGTCATATTAATTGTAGATTCGCGTTCAGCCACGTGAACTTTGTCTTTTTCTTCTTTCTCGCCACCAAACGCGTCTGGTTGATCTTGGAAATTGATAGGGAAATCTCTTTCTCCTTTTCTCCTGCGATTACTGGCTACTACCGAGTATACGAATTTTCTTCATTTTTCACTGTGACTGACGTGACCGACCCGGTACAGGAGTCCATTGGCGATTTCAATCTATTTTTCCACATATGATTGAACAGAAGATTCGATCTTCACGTATGAACTTCAGTACGTTCAGCAGGAGTCGAACGATCATCCAGTGTGTCTATGTACAATGAAGATCAAGGGACCCGAAGATTCGAAGGATCCAAAGGACCATTTAAAGTCATCCGAAGGATCCCTCATCTTCTAAGATCATTCCTGGGAATGCTTCAGGATCATCAAAACGTCCTGAAAGGACCATATCAGTCACCCGGGTATCATATAACAGCCCGCGACCAGGTTCTCAGGACTTGGTCCATCCGTCGATCAGGATCTTCATCAGGTGCGTATCCTAGACATCGTGTATACTCTCGTCATCACTCTGATCTTTTATACTCGGCGGACTGTCTTCCCTGGGAGGCGGTGGACTCCTCTCCAAGCTTCTACTTCGCGGTCTGGCCATAATAGCCCTGTCAAGATTTTCCTTCTCGCGTGGCTCCACAGTCTCAGGACTGTCCCTGTAGTAGCTGCTGAGGGTTGACAAACTGGAGCTGGCTGCGAGGGTGCCGAGGGGGGCGCTGGAACCCGCCATCAGCATGGACGGATAAAATCTATAAGGCAATGGCTTCTGAAGCGTCATCGCCGCTGCGGCTGGACGGTAGTACAGGTCGTTCAGGGGCGGCGGCGGCGGTCTTCCAGGATACAGCCAGTAGTTTCCGGCTGCTGGATGTCCTGGTACACCGGCGCTACTGGCCTGCAGTGTGTGAAACGCCGCGTAGTTCCCAGCCTCAGCGAGTATCTCCAAACCGACCAGGGCCTGTCTCTTCCACTTTGTCCTGCAAGCAAAAAATATATATATAACCCCCATTTTCATACCCTGTACCAAACCACTACCCCATCGCGAAACGCAATTTTTTTCAAAAAAAAAAAAAAAAAATCACAAATTCCAAAATAAAAAAATTTCTATAACTCCCCAGATTCCTTAGGCTACATCAACGGCTAAATTCGCAAGGATAGTCGATTAAGAATTTTCCCAGTAATTTGCCCCTCGCTCATTTTATCCCCTTATCGCCGAATCTATCCCTTTCGATAACAGCTACCCTCGACACTGGGAAACGATTCTCCCCTCTTCTCTCCGATACCACTCCTCCCTCCTCACCCACTCACTCTCTCTCTCTCTCTCTCTCTCTCACGTATGTAAATCCCGATCTGGGACAATTACGCTAAAACGGGGTGGCGTGCCGCCAAGTGGTTACGTTGGCCACACTGCGGAGCTTATTATACTAACAAATAGCCCGTGGAGTTCAGTGCCTAATCATCGCGTATCATGCCACGCACACAGGCCTCAGCAGCCCCGTACGGCCAGGAGCCCCGAGTCTTGGTGGATATATAAACACGAGCCGTTCGCAAAGAGGGTGGATAGGCCGTTACATTACGCAGAGACTGACCCTCCGTGTAACGTTCCTGAATAATACAGAGAAAATTGCAACCCTTCCGTAGTAAGCCCCAGAGTCAGGTGGGGAGGTGCGAGTTACGTCCGATTTTCATTCTCGATAGCGGCGCCAATTTTCTTGCCTATGAGACCCATTCGAAAAGAAAGAAAGAAAAAAATGCTCCCAATGAATTTTTTTTTTTTTTTTAATACCCTTATAACCATCTATTATCATCCCTCCTACGGGAAACCAAAGTGGTAGCCCAAAGTGCGAGAGTAATTAATAACCTCCCCTCGTCCACCCCTCTATAGGGGTGGCAAAATTCGACAATTAATATATTTCCATGCAACCCCTACCTTACACGCAGTCCCGTATAACCATAGAGGCATGCATGTTAAATGTAGGCCAATTTTATAGACGCGTAGCGTTGTAAAGGCGCAGGGCAGGAGAGGGGTAGCAACCCTTTTGTATACGTCGGTCGAGTAAAATCGTTCATGAATTTTAAACAGGCCACTCTGCGAATCGAGTCGTGATCATTTTTCATTTTTCGTCGACGTGCGAGCCGGGCAAGGGAGTGGAGGGGGGGCAGCCCCCATGTGCGATTATGTGATGAGTAATGTTTTTTAATACCCCCCCCCCCACCGGGTTTCACCTATGCGCAATACTCGAATAGGTCCCTGGGTCTGCGCATAACACTTTTGCACCCTTGGTCCTCTGCGCGTCGCTCTTTGCATTTGTGGGCCCTATACTGGTTCCGAGTGCACTATTCTAAAACACCCTTAATTGCCCGGCTTCGGCTCTCTTTATGCCCCGATGTTGGCTCTGGTGAACGCGCGCGCACAGACACCATTGATTTATCGTCCAGGACGGGGCTCTCGAGGGGTCGCCTTGGATGGATCATCCCCAACGTGGAAGAATGAAGGG